CTCCAGCCCCTCCAGCCCCTTACTCACCTGCACCAGAGCCCTGTTGCTGAAAAATGTGGCCTGGCCAGCCGTGTGTTTCAGCACCAGGGTGAGGGACCAACCATAGAGACACTCTGGCAGCCTCTGGTTACCTCAGGGCACAATCCAGGACCGTGCCCTGAGGTAACCAGAGGCTGCCAGAGTGTCCCGGACCGTGCCCTGTGCCGCTTTTTTCAGCTTTGATTTTTTTAGACCCCTGGATATCCAGGGGTCTAATTTTCACTCCCCTTGCAGCACGAGGAACATTTTTCTGTTCCCACATGTGCCTGTTGCCCCGCCTCAAAGGGGTTTGAGGTGGGGCAAGAGGCACGTGTGCGCTCGTGTGGACCTGCCCCATGAGTTTTCTTTTGGTCCAATCTCCAATTTATCAAGGACTCTCTGAATCGTAGCCCTATCCTTCAGCATATCTACTACTCCCTCCAGCTTGGTGACATCCGTGAACTTGCTGAGGGTGCACCCATCCAATCTTCCAGATCAGCGATGAAGATATTGAACAAAACTGGTCCCAGATCCAATCCCTGGGGCACTTTGCTTGATACCAGCTACCAACAAAACACCAAACCATTGATTACTACTCTTTGAGACCAACGATCCAGCCTGTTTTCTATCCTCCTTACAGTCCATCCAACCCATACTTCCTTAGCTTATTTGCAAGAATGTTGTGGGAGACCTTATCAAAATCCTTGCTGAAGTCAAGATATCACATCCACTGTTCTCCCTGCAACCACAGAGCCAGTCATCTTGTCACAGAAGGTAATCAGGCTGGTCAGGCATAACTTGCCTTTGGTGAATCCATGCTGGCTCTTCCTAAACACCGCCACCTCCTCTAAGTGGTTAGAAATGGATTTCTTGAGGACCTGCTCCATGATTTTTCCAGGAACAAAGGTGAGGTTGACCAGTCTGTAGTCTCCTGATCCTCCTTCTTCCCTTTCTTAATGATGGGCACTATATTTGCCCTTTTCGAATCATTTGGGACCTCCCTGAATCACCACAAGTTTTCACAGATAATGGCCAGTGGCTCTGCTATCACATCAGCCAACTCCCGCAGCACCCTCTGGTGTGTTGTGCATTGTCCCCATGGACTTGTACACATCCAACTTTTCTAAATAGTGCCTAACCTGTTCTGTTACTACTGTTGGCTGCTCACCTCCTCCCCAAACTGTGCTGCCAGGTGCAGTAATCTGGGGGCTGACATTGCCTTTGAAGACTGAGGTAAAAAAGGCATTGAGTCCTTCAGTCTTTTCTGCATTATCAGTCACTAGGTTGCCTCCCCCATTCAATAAGGGCCACACACTTTCCCTGATCTTCCTCTTGTTGATGACATGCTTGTAGACACCCTTCTTGTCACCCTTCACGTCCCCTGCCAGCTGCAACTAGTCCCTTGCTAGCCCTGGGGTGCTGCCAGGGCGGAGGGAAGGACTGGGGCTCCCACAGTTCAGGGCAGTTCGCCGCCCCCCCAGGCCATGGGCAGGCTCCACTGGGAAAAGAATTGAGCCCCTCGCCATAGCAGTGACGGAGACCCCGACATCGATTTCAATTAAAAACCCACCCTCTCGATTTAGGGACGTAGAAGCAATGCCCCGCACGTGTACAAGCGCCCTTAATGCCTACGGGGGTAAATGAATCCGACTGAGGTACTCTGGGGGGGAACTGAGTCACCCCGGCCCCGGCCCCGGCCCCGGCCCCAGCCCTGGCCGGGGTCGCGCCTCGCGCTCCTGCTCTCCGGGACGGCGCCAGGCCCCGGCCGGTTGGCAAAGCCGCTGGTTTCCCGTTCACCGGGGCAAAGCGGGGGTTGCCGGCACGTCTCACACGTGGGTCCCGCGACGGCCCGGG